AAAGGGGGGTGAGGTTAAAGCTAAAGTTTACTTAATCAAATGAAAGAGAGAGTGAGGATATTCATTTATCAAGCAGGACAAGGAAAGACTGATAACTGTTTCTTTTTGAGCAAATAAATCAGGCTTCAGGAGTTTGATAGAGATTGCTTCGGTAAACTTAAGGAGAACTGGTCTTTTTTGTCTACTGATAATTTCAAAGGATTTTGCGATTTCCACCCTATGACCTATATGAAGGAGATGCTTAGTAATGGCACTGTTGTAAGCGTTTGTTCCCTTGAGATGTAGGCTTTTCGGTTCATGTTCATAAAATTGGAGGTGTGCCCTTCTTTCTGTTCTCCCAATGTAACTGCTCCCGCAGATACGCGTAAATTTGTATTCACAGTTGGAGTTAACATGACAGGGGTATCTGTCGACTTTTGACTGCACCAAGGAGCATGTTGTCCGTTAGTCAGGAACCAACTCAGCTGCAGGATAGGCTCTGGTTAGTGACGTACCCGATCTTCTGTTGACTATTGCTGTAATATGTTCACCTTTAAAATCGAGTTGAATGAAGACAGACTTTTTTCCCTCTTTCATTTGATTAAGTAAACTTTAGCTTTAACCTCACCCCCTCTTTGATAAAGTGTAATTTTGCTTGTCTCTTTTTCTATGATTTGAGTTGAACTTAGTACATTGTTACCCAATTTATTAGTTACTTATCATCTGAAGCATCTCTCGTCTTTATTATGTAACTCCTTTAGTGTTGCATGCATACATTTCCTTTGTTTAAACTTGAATTCCCTGTGCATCAACTGTATAAGCGTAATTTTCTGAGCACTGTTCAATCAGTCCAGAACTTCCCAAGATTAAGATATGATACAACGAACTGGTTAACGTTTTCAGTGTAGCTTGAACTTATCGTATATACTAGGTGACTAGCGATCTGAAAATATGCTTTTAAAATAACTTCGGGAACACATGTTATACATCTTAAATAAGATAAATCAACTAGTGTCATGCAATATTGTCGTGTTAGTGCAAGAAGCATATAAGAAAAAAACTGCTTATTTGGAAAAGCAACTTAATATCTGAAAACCGAGTGATAGCTGAAGCCGATCAAGTTGTTAGGATAATTAGACTATCAGAATAAAATATACCCAAGTTCTGACCACAAAACGCACATAGTTATATTCATTGAACATACATACTGTAAGAATTACATGTGTTCTATGCACGCAATATTTTCGCTTATTTAAAATTCAATACATGAAGCATTTCACAACTGTCAAGATAACTCTTTTAATAATAGTCCGTAAGATAGATAAAATCAAAATAGGAACTAAGAAAGATGCAAAGTTTCTATAACCTTACATCTGCATATTACTTAGGAGACGTAGGATGGAAGTCGATACGAAAGATGTTTAATAGGGATGCACACAAAAGATTATTATACAATTTAAGTAACTGAAAGTACACAGTTTTATCAACTTATATCTAACTTAATGACAATGAACTGAAACTCTACACTATTCACAAATTTATTCCTCTAAAAGCAGAAATAGCTGTTAAACCAGTGGTGCTCGGATAAGTTTTGCATTCCATTACATATAATGATTAGTGAATCAATATATATAGTCTGTGCAAAATGTACTATGAGCTGGAGAAAGCCAACAACTGCCTAAGTTGTTGACGTAAACCTTCGCAAAAAGATGGATAAGGACAAGTCTCCATACTGTATAAAATCACACAAATTTACGCGGGCGGGGGGGGGGACATAAGGAACTTGCAACGCACTTTTCTTTCAGAGAAGAAAACTTAATTTGACGAAGATTAGTGAAGGTTTTTAAAATTCGGAATATAACATAATGTAAATACATCTACGTCATTTTGAACGCTTTTGAGTGATGTCACAGACAGTCTCTATGTACTAATTCCTAGAATGTCGAGGACCATAGGCAGACACTTTACTCCTTCCTACGTCTCAAAAACCAATAGTCACAGACATCTAACCATCCCTTACACTTTTTAGCCTACACTCGTATCGGCTAACATCACTAATGGAAGAAGGAGATGGTTCAGTATGTGGAGCGCATGTTCTAGCTATTTCAAACCGAAAGAATTTCCTAGTCCATGGCAAGCATTTTTTGGCAAGTAACTCACCAACTTTGATAAAATTTCCCAAATAATTGAAATTTCCAACTCATTTCACGACAAACTCAGCTTAAATTAATGATGAAAATGGACGTGGTCTTGGGTGAGAACAGTGAGCAAGCAGACCAAGCCGTGAATCTCCATCAGGAGCACATCAACGGTTAGTCTGGATGAAAATCCGAGGGTGGCAACATTCTAGACTAATTTTACTCGAAAGGTCAAATGTAAATCATATTTGGAAAAACTTATAAGGCCAAACTAACAGCTACAGTTCAAATTAGGAAAGAGAATAATTCAACGAAAATTCAAGTCTTAAATAATTAGAAGTGTGTACATATCCATCTTCACAATTGAGTTCATACCACGACCCCAATCATTGATTTCTAGCATTTCAAACATCTCAATCAGTAAGTTTATATCCCATTACATTCCTCATACCAACAATCAAAGACACCATGTATTCATGCCATGTTTTGCCTTATTTCTTTTACTACCTTAAGCCACTTATAGGATGGAAATCATTTGCACAGCAGGTATCCTATAATTCTCGCTCTCTTGCTTCCGATTTGTTCTTTTGAAATATAAATTCTCGTACGTAAATACTTACAGACAGCATTTAATGAAAAGACACACTGATATTACACTATATGTAATTTATATCCCATCCAATTAGTAGGCAAAGACAAACTCAAAACTTGGAGTGAAGAAGTTACATATTTATCAAACTGATGGAAATCAGTGCAAAGGTATTAGAAACAATCATAAGAGACGAGTTATTAGCTCATGTGGCTTACTGGTGGAGGAACAGGATGTAATCCGAAAAGAATGATCCTGCCTAACAAACCTCCTATTAGCTTGGGTAAATTGGGTAGAAGCCAGGGATAATACCAATACCTTTGTGACTGGTTTAGGGGCTACTTACTGGGAGGGTCAAAGGTAAGGGTTAATGGTGTCGAATGCGATACCACAGGATACTGTTCTGGGCCGATTGCTATTTATATTTTACGTAAACGAACTGCCAAAAATTCTTACCTCATCTCGATTGTTATTTGGGTACGATATTAAGATATGCAAAGCTGTAAATAATAATGATAAGACCATCTTACTAGGTGATATAAGTAAATTAATTGAATGGTTTAACCTCTGGAGTTTGGAAATTAATTCCAGAAAACGTGCAGTACGGCATTGAGGTCAGCGGCCTTACACGTTATACTTTCGGAGGGACAGAAATGCCTGATGTTAAGGGGCGAAGGAACTAAGGAATTATTTTTAAGTACGATTTCAAAATAAATGCGTATTGTAAGATACCTGTAGCTAAGGCTTTTCGAATCCTATGGGCACTTCAAGGTGCTTAGGTGAGCTTTTTTTTCCTTCACGTTCCCAATGGAACATAGGGCTTCAAGCTAGAGGCTTGAAGTTTCTGTAGCAGTGTTTATTTTTACAGGATGGGGTTGCTAGCCTCATGCCCAACCTTTCCTCTTTACCAGCTTTATTTCTGGCTTAGCGAGGTTAAGGAGTGCGTCGGCTGAGGCTCGAACACCGACCATGTACATGGTCGGCGAGAGTCCTAACCGCTATGCCACCGACGCGTAGGTGGGTCTTTATTTTAAATACTGTAAGGAACATATATCAGGCCTTACTTAGACTGCCTTAAACGGACGGTTAGTTCATGCTCCAGGAAGGAACCAAGAGCATAGGAAGGAGTATAAAGAGTGGGGACCAAATTATTCAGTGTTATCTCCCACTCTCCTTATGAAAAGGCAATGGAACATAAAATCCCTTCCAATTATTATACCAAAGGAAGAGTGGTGACTTAATTTTTGTATTACGTATATTAAAAAATGGTTTGGGTACTGACCTTTCTAACCTCTTCTCTCCTTCTAAAATACCTTTCCGAAGTCACCACAGAGAGATGCTTAGACCTGGGACAAACAAAATACGTGTGTAATTCAGATTCTCAAATACGGTGGTCAGAGACTGGAACTCATTACAGGAACAAACAATATAAGCTCAATCGGTGAACTCTTTCAAGACGAAATTAGAGTTCTATAGAGATATATATTGCCACATTTAACAAAAGTCATGAGAATCTGTTACCCTTTATTATCAGAATCTGAGACATTTGCATTAAAAATGTGGCGACACTGGTATATTATACATACCTAAGCTAGATAGAAAGATTGCTTCTCGCATACTGAGTCAATACAGAACTAATGCTGACATAAAAGAATTTATGTGCTTTCCAAATTCTTTATTAGCTTTCAGCACTGTACGCATTACTTTGCATTGGATAAAGTGGATGAAAACTTACAAGAATAATCAACCATCATATCTCAGAATATTTCCACGGCTCAAGTCTGGGTTTCGAAAGATGAATACTCTCCGAAACACTTCTATGCACAAAAAGCTCTAATACATTATATAAAGGGTTTAAAGTAAGGCAACAGGTATGAGTTTTTACATGACCGACTTATCACAGTATGAAAAACTGAAACTTCTGAAGGTTTTCCTATCATCAAACCGTAGGCAGGCAGAGGATCATATTATAATGCTTAGATGTTTACACAGTGACTAAGGAACTGATCTTTTTTATCTCACAAGGTCGTTACACCTCACAAGACATAGGAGAGTCCAAAAGCTGAGAAGGATATATCGCTGTGGAGTATCACTTCCCAACATGAGCCACAGACACCTATCAATAATCAATAAATCCGAGTCTGAATCTGAATACCATAGTATTCAGAAGTATACGCTATATGTAAGTGCGTGCACTTAAGGAAAACTTCATATATGAATATATATATCAGTTACGTCCAAAAGTAACAATTAAGAGACAATCAAGCAGATAAAAATTACAAAGAGATTCTTACTTCCTATGAACGAGTCGAGATTACTTCGTCTGAACAAAACCTAAGGTCGAACGATAACACATCGAAAAATTGAAAGTTGCCACACAAAACAAACAACCAACACAAACAAACAAAGTGACTCAATTCTTTCAAAAAGGAGATATTTGTAGCAGAGTAGAAATAAAGACAATCTTTCATTATTCATGCTGTTTATTCCATAAATTTCTTCAGAATCTTCTCGTTTCCACGTAATAAGAGATGACTTTTCGACATACTAATTGTCCTCCGATGTTTCGCAATAAATTCATATATGCAGTGCATCCATACAAAACTTATACTCTTTCAAAATCTTTTCTTGTGCATCAGCTATCATAGACCGCATTCTTCATCTTCTTGATTTTGATGAACACTCTAGTGACAAGATCCTTCTTGTCCATACTAAATCAATTTCACAGTGTAAATGAATGTGTGCTTTGTTTATCTTGCTATAAATCGATTGATTAGGTAAGAAGGTTTGTGTCTGAGAATTTTTCCGCCTTGATAATGCTCTTTCCCATATGTAACCTCGGCTTTCCGTTGTACATAATGTCAAGCCGTAACATTCATCAAGAAGGGTTAGGTAATAATCGCACTTACGATGTCACTATAGTCCGACTAAATAAAGTTCACTATTTCCTTATGGTCGGCAGGTCCCTGTTTCATCAATCACGGCGCTCACTCAGACTACCTCAATGGAACCAAAAAGTCAATTAGACTCAGGTTATATTTGAACACAAGGTTTTCGTTTATGGTATCACGGCAGTGTTGCTGCAACCGGCATTAGTCATCAGCTTTCCTGAAGCGAGGAATTCCGCATGTTTGCATTGATCTCCTAGACTTAGTGAATTCTTCATCTTGAAATTAGGCGAGAATTACAGTAATCTCCTTTTATCTAGCTGTCTGATCACCAAGCCTCATAAACTGCACCCTCTGGCTCACATACTTCCTCAAATCAAATACTAGACGCCTCTTTTGTGGCTGCACGTAAGAGGAAGAAAGTCCAGAACTTATCATGTGTATTGTTTTAACACAGTGAAACGGATGTGTGATTTTCAATACAATTTTTCACTCCTAAGTCTAATAATTAAGTTCAACGTCGTTTTCACGAGCTAGTGTGTTCCCTTCTTTGTTGTGAGGTAAGGGTTCCTGATCTTCTGTTAGCTTCTGTGTAGGTCGTCTCGCTAATCGACCGTCGTAGTTTCGGCTAACTCCAAATAGGAGTGGTACTGAGATTAATTATATGTAGTTTGTAGTATGCGGTTCATTAAGACCGCGTTGCCCCTGTGAATGGGATCTATCCTTTCACCCATTATTCGTCCGGTGACTTCTAAAAATAGAGAAAATAACAGTCATAGTTAGTGCAGGTTATGCAGACTCGATAAGAAAAGAAAGGAAAAATACGTATACAAAGTCGGCTAATGAAATTTGAAATAGGTATATGTATACATATATGTAAATATATATTATTCATATTAGGTGTAAAAGAAATAATAGCTGGAGTAGTCAGTGTAGTAAAACAGACTATGAAGAAGTAAAAGACGAGATTAGGTGTGTATCCATTAATATGGTTTGAGATTTGTGGGGAAAGGTCATTTGTATGCAGTCCTCGCGTTGCTGCATTACTGCCTAGCCTTCGTTTAAAGCTGTCCACGGACGGTGACGTAGCTACATCTGCCACTAAAAAGTTCAACGGACGGCAAACTGGCAGTGAAAAAAAATGCGAGGTCACTGGAGCCTCTGCCCTCTGATAAACCATCCTTCTGGGAATCACACGAGGAAGCTCATACCTAGTCAATGGCAGGACACCTTCGTTCGGGTGATTCTGGTCACTTGTAATTCTGTAAGTCCCGCTTAAGCCAACAGTATCTAAGTGCGAAGAGGCCGTTTTTCTTTAGCCATTCATCATATGATTTACTTCGAGGTTCCATCACCGCTTTTGTCGCTCGTATTTGGACTCTTCCCAAGACGCTGGCGTCTCTTCTAAGCACTGGGGGGACAGTGATATTATGTACTCCAAGGTGCGGTCTGACGTATACTTTAACAACCTCAGAAGGATCTCAGGAGAGATTGCAGTTGACTATCTATGTGTAAAGTGTATGACCGCATATGCCTCGCTACGTCCCGCATGTAATTTACGCTTGTGTCCATTTTTCCGTTAGAACTGGACCCAAGTCACGCTCCTACGTTGTGTCGGTAAGCTTTCGTTGGACAAGGTGTAACTTGCATTCTGCAGTCTACAGGTGCGTAACTTCACTACTTTGCACTTTTCCAGGTTGAAAGTCATGCCACTGGCCACCGCCCAGTCTTCCAAAAGCTTTTGGACTGCCTGCAGCCTATTTGAGTCTCCCGTGTGATTTATTGCCCTCCATATCTTTACGTTGTCAGCGTATAGAAGAGTAGGGCAGCTTAGATGGCATGGTAGGTCATTGATAAAAATCAAAAACACCAGTGGTGCTAGGATAGAGCCGTGCAACACTCCTGATGACGAGCCGTGCAAGATGATCGGACTTGAGTGACCTCAGTGTGGAATTGCCTTTCAGCTAGGCAGTCCTTCAAACATGACAGAAGCAGCTCACTTCTACCTGCCCGACTTATTCTACGTAGGAGAAGGTCAGGGTGAACTGTGTCAGATGCCTTCTCAAAGTCTGGAAAAATAACATAGATTGGAACATTCATATTCCAGCATGATGTCCAATCGTCACAAGCTGGTAGTAGGTTTATCACATACGATCTACCCCTCCTGAAACCAAGTTGTGCTTCGTGGTGTCTATTAGTATTATCGAGGTGCTCCCTCATGTGATCATCATTTAGACTTTCCAGTACTTTTGATACGACTGGGAGTAGGGCAACTGGTCTATAACAAGCGACATTTTGCCTGTCCCCACTCTTAAAAATCTGAGAGAAATTGTCTCTTTTCCACTCTCTTGATAGTTTCCCTGAATCCATCGAGTATTCGAATAAGTCGCATAAGGACCTACAAAGAGCTTCGGCTCATTGATTCGGAACAGATAGCCTGATATCGTCACAACCCCAGGAACTTTCTGGATTTGAGTCTCTGTAGCTTCTGTGGTACTATTGCCGAGTATATTTGGAAAGCGGCCACTGGGTCTTCTTCCGGTGAAATAGTAGTGCCATCATTTCGGTCCATACCGGTAATACCCACCTTCCTGTTCAACTGTTTGACGAAGGTTAAATTGAATGTCTCAGCCATCTCCAGACTATGTGAGGTATTGACCTTTTGCACCTACTAGGGCGCATGCCCCTTTGTTGGTTTGTTTTCTCCCTGAGGTGGATCGGTACATGCTCTTAGGGTTAGCCAGAAATGACTTCCTGTAGCTCCCGACTCTTACGCTTCACCGGTTCCTGCCTTCCAGCATGCGTCGTGGTTGGTCCGACTCTTAGATATTTGCCCCGTAGACCAGGCCTTCAGCTTTGCTTGCAGAATACGTTGTGTACCTCTCTTCAGCCATGAGGACCTTTCCTTCGACTGTGTTGTGACTAGAGGGACGGTATCTGAGATTGCTGTATGAATAATCCCTTTTACCACTTCCCAGTGTTCATCCACAGACAACTAAGACCAGTCCATGGCCATTCTACGTCGGATAAAGGCCTCAGCATTCCAGCATAGTCCACTCTTCTATAGCACAGACATGGTCGCGTAGCGTCTTACTGTAAGCGTTCGGGGAGAACAAGGTCGGATCCTGTGACCGCGTGGTCATTACTTCCTAGAGGAGTCATAATCTTGACCTTTCCAACGACTTGTTGGTCACCTGTTTGAATATAATCTAGTTTCGATAACTTTCCAATAGGGCCCCACCTAGTGTCGTCTCCAACATCCTCAGTCAGTCCTGAATTTCCAATGGCTTGCAGTAGATTTTGACCGAATTTTCCCTGAGCATACCCCGGGTCAAGATTCAGTGATGAGGCATTGACATCTTCAGCTATAAGGATTTAGTCGTAGCCCAAGTCCCGTATCCTACAATTGGGGGACACTGACTGTCATTCTCAGTGCCACATCGCTGTAGAGTCACTGAGGCTTGAAGACGTATCGTAACATTAGTTTGCTGCCTCCTTATGGTTCGAGGTCTGCTTCCACAGTATCTGATGTGTCCTCCCATTTTACCCTTGGTCTCATACCGTCGTTGAAGTACTAGGGCCAACTGTTGCTGGGAGTTAAATCTGACACTTGTTAGCCTTGAGGAGCTGATCAATGGAGATGATTGGAACGAGGTAGACAAAAAATCGAGATTGCTCCAGAAGCACCAAGGGCCATTGCTGTACGTCATGCACGTGCTTTTCACAGTCAGTGCCAGTTTCCAGTTCCACAACACAGTGTATGATCATGGAGGTAGAAGACATCGGTTCTAGTGACTCCCTCGCCATTTGCTTGTTAGCCCATAACCTATCCTGCCTCACTTTTATGCTTGAAATCCTGTTGATAGCTAATACTTGAGCCAGTAACAGTATTCGTTCAGTCTCTTCGGCAGAGCCCAGTATAACCCTTAATGGAGGTGTTTTGCCTTGAGGTGCCTGAAAACCTCTGTAAAGCACGGACAATTTTACTGAACTGATGTCCAGCCTTCATTTATTGCACAAATTAGCCCATTGTTCCTGATCAAACAAGGCTCTCTGTCGAAGCAAATCATCATTACACACTGGTACATTAGACAGCGTAAGGGAATACGATCGACTGACCTCAGGCTTAGGTTTGGTCTCTGGTTGCTTGTCCTCCTTTTTAGTGTCATCCACTTTATATTTTGTCAGGTTCTGACCAGTATTTGCAATGTTGCCACACTTTCTAGCGGATACAAGTGGAGCGTTGGCGATTTCGTCTTCTCATGCTGTTCTAGGTGTAAATTTGAGAGTCTTCAGTTTATGAAGGTTCATATTTCCAGTCGGTTGGGCTGAAGCATCCTTATTATGGTTTTTACCAAGCTTTGGTGTTGCGGTGCCATCAGGTGGAGCTCTGCATGAGACTGTGTCCAGACACAAAAGTGGTGTTCTGTTTCTATTTTCCGGAATTGCGCTGTGTGAGACTGTGC